CATCAAAAGTTTCAACCTTCAAACCATCTACTGTAATTCGTTACTTAAATCTCTTTTGTTTAATTCAAGGTGTCTCCATAGTCGCTAGGCAGTTTTGGGTGGATTTGTGGTTTGGTAGACTGCGCCCGAAAGTTCTCAAGCCACAAGGCTCCCTGAACCACACTGGAGTCTAGAGCCCATGGAGAAGCTTCATCAAAGGTCAGTCAAGCACCCTCGCTTTCCCTTGCCTTGCCATCGCTTCTAGGTAGGGGGGGCAAAGCGGTCTTTTAAAAAGTCCTTTGCTCCTAGTCCTAGTAGCTATTTGCTCCTAGTAGCGATGCCAGGAGCCCCTAATAGCGTCCTTGCTCCTAGTAGCGATGCCCTTTGCTCCTAGTAGCGTTCTTGCTCCTAGCAGCCAAATGCCGTGCCTTCCCACGGTCGGGCGTACATGGCAGAAAGTCTCAGGCCATACCAAGTTCTTCGCTCGTTGGCCCTCTTCTTGGTGGCAGCACCTCCGGCGCTTCTTTCAGCGTCAAGAAAGAATCATTACATGAATTTGTATAGAGTACACAAATAATATACATGTGTCTTGAAAGAATCATGAACCCACATGATCATTCTTTTTTTTGCAGGGTTGCGTCCACGATGTGTCCATGAAGCCTCTGCCCATGACGTTGTGTCCCCCTTCCAGGCCAAGTTCATTTCTCGCCTGCAGCAGATCATCAGGCGTGAAAAACGGATAGGTCTCTTCCACCTGCATGGAGGGCTGACCGGAGCATATGTGGAACACATACAAAGGCTTTGGGCTTCCGGAGCAGAAAGATAGAGCAGAGCCTGGTGATGGAATTTCGGAATGGTCTGTTTATCAGTGATGATCTTTGGGCTTCAGAAGAAGAAGGAGAAGAAGGAGAAGGAGAAGAAGGAGAACAACTACAACAGCCACAATCACAACCACAACCATTGGCTACCTTTCTTGCCTCAGAGATGATAATTTCAGGCCTAAGAGCTGGGACACAGCCCCTCACCTTTTGACCCATGAACCGAAGGCACCAGGGCTTGAGGTCCTACTTGCTGCGCTCAGCTCTCGGCGGGTGTTGGGTGTTAGGCGACCCAAAGCAATCAGGTCGTTTCACCAGTTGAGGCCAGCTACTCATATTTTGCTCTACTTACCAAACCGTATATGCATTGTTGGGACTTGATAGGGGACCACAACAAGTCAGTCGAAAACCGAGACCTTCACCCGAAAGGGGATTACCAATTTTCGAAAGTGGAGAGTCATTTTTGACAGCTCAGTATACAGGATTGAAGATTTACGTAGCGCTTGCTGAAATGGGTCGCCAGACTTTGCTGCCGTTTGAGTTTGGAGGAGTGTCGTGGAGGCCACCTCTCATGACCATCATCTGGTCCTGAGGCTGCCTCACACCCTACTTGAAGAAGCTTCCGATGGCTGGGGCCCTGAATGTTCAAGTGCACTGGTTTCCAAGGAGAACACATTCGCGAGTAACAGTTGTCAAAGCCCTTGAAGACACGGTAGGAGACACGGTAGGAGACGTTTGAAATGGGACTGCAGGGGCTGCCGGGGTCTTTGCTTCTATGACTGGGACACCAACCTCAGCTCCAAGCTCCAAGCCACCCTGGGTTGATCAAGGCTTTCCTTTTTTTGGAACAATTATACGCAGAAGTTGGACAATGACAATTAGATGTCTTTTTTTTGGGAGAAGATCCACATGTTGGTTTGGCTTAAGAGGCCCTTTGACATCGTTTGTTTTGTGGTCCGAGGGTTCTACAGAGTGACAACCTTGCTTCCACACTGAAAGGAAACTCAAGAGACCCTGGCGAAGCTGTAAGGTCCGAGCGAAGCTCGACAAGGAGATGAAGAAAACCATGTCGGAGCTGAGAGCGAAATTTTCGCAGGACGGGTGTCAGAGGTCATGCTGCGAGCACTGCCGTTGTGGCAGGAGTTTCTTTTTCTTTAATGCTATAATTTTGTCAGCAAACTCTCAAGTGGTACCATCAGGGTTGCGTGATCCAATGCTGTTCCCAATATTGTCTCCACTCAGTGTCCGATCATGAAGAAACTGCGTGCGTCTTGATCTCGGCTGACAGAGAGAACGCAAGGAAGAGAGGGATATATATCTCGGATATCTACAAAAGCTCGTGATAGCCGGTGCTGCTCGTGCCATGGCATTGACGGTCTCTGGTTTGTTGACCAGCGATGACTATGAGCACCGAACCTGTGGAATGCATCGTGGATTGCTCGAGCATGTTCGAGCGGCCATGCAAGCGTTGCCGGATGTTAAACTCGCAGAAGACCTCTGCCAGAAAGTCTTGGAATTGCTACCAGAAGGCAGGATGATGGTAGGATGTTTCCGAGGTGATTGATTGCAATGCATGCCACCCGAAATCTTTGGACTGCATCGATGTGATAAACCCGGATCATGATTCATGATAGCCTTTTTGGAATGATGAAGATGATATGTTAAAGCTCGCAGAAACATTTTTCTCTTTTCTGCTGATATTTTCGTTTTTGAACTAAGCCGAAAGGCGATGCGGGAGTGATGCTTTCACCTGCCATGGGCAAGCCTTTTGCTGAAGCCACACGGGGTGACTCCTCTGCGCCAGCTGTTGTGGTGTGGCTCCTGCCAGACCCCACGGACGTAGATTCAAAACAGACCACCTTCGTGCGAAGCGACGTCAAGAGTTTGGAGGACACTTTCAGTGCCATGTACAAGCTTTCGCTTCAAGAAGATGCTAAACCTGAGTGAAATTATCCTTCACCACCGGACTTCTCTCAGCTTGGCCAATGGCTGTGTCTACTATACCTCAGTGTGGTCAACCATCCTCTACTTGTACCGGCCACAGCAAAATCCGGTTATCTCTGCTGGATCTGCTTCTGCTGCAGTTTGCCCAAGGACCAACCTGGCGCCAGCCTGACTTGAGTGCGGCTTGTACAGAGAGAAGCCGAACTAGCCAGCCAAAATCCGGGAAAGTGCCAAGGGAGAACCTCCATGGGACATGCCCTGCTTGATCGAACACCTGCCTTTGTGTTGGGAGAGCCTTTAGGGGTTGAGACGGAACATGGTCTTCCTTTAATTCCGATGGTCTTCTTGATGGGCTCGTCAAGAGAATTTGTCCTGCAATTATTTTACTTGCAGGCTGAATCTATCCTGTGGACACCATAAAAAGACGGTTTGGGTTTGACTGAAGCTTGTGCTCCATCCATCGGACGCACATGAGAGAAGCTGACATTGGTGGGCCAACATCTGGGATGCACTTCCGCATACCATCGAGGGTTGACTGGTTGCATAAAATGCTTGAAGGATGCACACAAGGACATGAATCATGCAATCCGGAGAAGACTATGTTGAGACTATGCTTGAGTTTCTGTGTGTTGTTCCCAACACTCAATGATTTCTAGATTCTAGATCACATCCATCCACGTCTTAGTATGATCAGCGAGGAACTCACAAGTCCTTGTACTTCGCTCCCAAGCAAGGGCATGGAGCCGGAGGCGCATCTTTGGGAGTTGTTGCAACAGGTTGGGAGGGTTCCCTGGTGTTCGTCGTGCCAGGGGAGGGGGATTGTGCTAGATTGTTGAACTCTTTTAAATGCGAACTCCAACAATTTCCTGGAGGGTCCACTGAAAATGCGATTGTTTAGTCGTTGCAAGCCTCGGGGTCCAACTCCACTGATTCCGAAGCACATTGATGTAAGACGTGGAAAGCATGTCTTTGCATGTTTGATGCAACCTGTTTGTGATGGTCACAGATGGTCACCGAATTCGTCCGAATCGAAGCTTGAGGGCTACGGTCCAAACGCATCCTTGCCGACAATTCCCATTTTGCAGCCCGGACACACCAAACACTCCCTGCTCTTCAGGGACTTTGGCGGTTCTGTTTTGGTGGCAACAAGTCCAAAACCTTTCGAAGAACCCAATGCAAACCCTTTCCAAACATATCCCTATCAGATAGGGCCTATCTATCTACCATCTACTGAATCTACCGCTGAACTAGTTTGCCCGAGGAGCTGTTGAAACTCTTGGATCGTCGGAAGGAACTGGTCTGGCCGCCCAAGGAAGGCTTGAAACGACACGACTATTTGAGGTCCATTACAGGGGCTCCTGGCATCGCTACTAGGAGCAAGGAAGCTACTAGGGGCTCCTGGCCTTACTACCAGGAACAAGGGCATCGCTACTAGTAACAACAATCTTAGCTGATGTATATCCCAAGGCCGCACTGATGTGAGAGAGACAATATCACTGGAACACGAGGGTCATCTTGCATGCTCTATTCTTGCAAGGAGGGAGGATGTAAGGACTTTTTGGCCTTGACTGTTCTGCGATGATGGGCAGATATCAGGTGTGCCAAGCACCTCCCCCCCACCACCTTGTTTCTTTCTTGACAAGATTTTGCATTTATCCAAATTCTGATTTGCCTGCAAGAAACAGGACAACTAACCAGAAAGCAAGTTTCTGAGTGAGTTGCCACACACGTCGATTGCAATGGCCAGCGGTCTCCATACAGGCAATGAGGTCGATTGAGATCATTGAAGCCATCATTTCTTTCAGAGGCTGAACCCTGTCCCTTTGTTGTTTGGGTTCGTATCCCATCATTGCAGTTGCATGAGTTGCATATGACTCGCGACTAAATACCAGAAGTCAACCTGCGCTTCTGGCACGAGTGACATTGCTTAAGCCACGAAGACAGAAGGTTACAGTAAGCCTTAAAGAAGCAGTTAGAGAGGCCTATGATAGCCAAATTATTCCATCCACCAACATAATTATATACTCATCCTGTGGATTGCTGGTTCAAAGCGGCCACGAATTGGCCATGCTAAGGACACAAAGACGTGGGCTGAGGGGAAAATCACAGGTGCTGTTTATCATGGTGGGAAGCAGTGTGGCGCTGAGAGTCACCATGGTTTGTAGGGTGAGGAGGACAATAAAGTTCAATAGAGCCTTTTGGAAGAGGCGTCCCACAAAAATTGCCAAAACAGGGGATGAGCAGTGATTTGTTTGTGGGATGGCAGAGCGTGCTGTGTGGTGGAGTGAAGAGTGAAGAACTATGAAGAACTTGTGCAGCTTAGTAGTAACAAGAAGCTACTAGGAGCAAGGACGCTACTAGGGGCTCCTGGCCGTACTACTAGGAACAAGAAGCTACTAGGAACTCAAACATTGAAAGCATCCAAGATAAATCTGCCCAGGCACTACGACTTTGTCGGGCAGGTCTTTTCCCGGTGGGCCTTCTGCAATCCGCTCCATCCGGAACTGCATCCGTGCCTCTGCCGTGCTTGGACAGAGAATAATATTTCACAAGGTGTGCAATAGGAGTGGGTCAAGGCTGGAAGCCCAGACCCCAAAGCACTTGTTACTAGAAGCGATGCACCTGTTACTAGTAGCTTCTTGTTACTACTAGTAAGGCACTTGTTACTAGAAGCGATGCACTTGTTGTGGGTCAAGGCTGGAAGCCCAGACTCCAAAGTGATGAATTGCCCAACAGCGTGATGAGTTTGAAGCTATGTGCAATCCCAAAACGAGTCCAGGGCCTTACGGCAGATGGATGCAGAGGCGCAGATGCGGAGCGGTGTTTTGCTGGAGCAATCTCGGGGTGACCGTCAACTCATTTAGATCTATTTTGTTCATGTTAAGTTCCGCTGGAATTTTCGACCTTTTGGCTGTGTTATCTGCTAGCTACTCACTATGGTCTTAGTATACAAAACGTCATTAGTCTGGGAAGGGCAAAACACCAAAAGACCGACCAGCCCCGCATTTCAGGTCGTGCAAATGGTCGTCAATATGTACCATGGCGGTCCCGATGCGTGTCATTTGGCTAAATTGGTGATGCTTCAGTCGATGTTTTGGGCTGTTCACAGCAAACGGAAGCAATACAAAAAGCTTACTGTGCATTGGATCATCCTCCCAAAGTGCTTTTTGGCGCCCCTTTGCTTCCACAAGTTTCACCGCCTTGAAGTTGCTTTTGGCGAGGCGGTGCTTTCACCACCGGAGGTACCGAGTGCAGAGCTCAGCAAGTCGAAGCTTCGAGCGATTCGAGCGCGGAGTTCGAAGTCGCTCACCCAGGAGCATCCTCATGGCCATGAAAGCTCATCGAGATTGGGGGGAAGCAGAGAAGGGCATCACGGAGACCTTGTGACACGTGAAACGGTTAGTGGATATGATATAGGCACTATCAACCAACCAATTGAGGTCTGTCAAGACTACCAGTAGATGCTGCAAAAAGAGCGGAATGCCTTTGCATTGGTTTCTGTGGAAACTGTAGCTGCAATTACAAAGTTCCTAACAGCCAGATCCATCTTACATTGTTGTTTTGCCTTGTGGATCCAGTAAAATGGAAGCATGGACACAATCTGAAACCTGGTTTTCTCAGGAGCCAAACATTGTGGTGTGCACCACAGCACATGCAGCCTTTGACAAGGTGTCCCGCCTGGAATTCCTTATGCTGCATGCTAGTTTTGTAAATGCGACTCAGGCACTTTAAACCTTGGGAAGTACTTCATTGTATCCTACTTGATGCCGCATTGATTAGAACCGAAGATGCAAGGCTGGGAAGTACTTCAAGATCCATGCGCGGGACCAAGATTGAGACCCAGGACGAATCAATTGAAGAACTCTCTTGCGTCTTGGCACCCAGTTCTACAAACAGAATTTGGCTGCGTTTTGGGACGGATGGTGGGGTGCTGCTTCCAAGATCAGCACGATTGAGTCATTGACATGTGCAAACTACCCGCACGATTGCGGCTAAGCTGCGTTGCTTTCCAATCTCCGATCAAAAAAATCTTCATGCTTTGTTCAGGTGAGGAAGGCGAAGACCGACAAGGACATGGCGATAGATCTCAACCACATGAAGCACCTCATTGACAGCAATACTGTGGCCATTGTCGGTGCTGGTCTCAGTTCTGGCGAAGCGCAGTACGAGGCGGCAGTGACCAGCCTCTTTGGATTTCGGATTCAAGATTGACAATTCACACCTTTGAGGCCTCAAGCAAATCAACATAAATCAACATCAGGAGTGCTAAAGTTCCGGCATTATAAACTACAAGTCTGTCCCCTGTCAGATTTCTGTCAGATTCGGTTCAACTGTACCTGTCCAGCATCATTGTTAGTACAAGGCTCTTGCTGCCAGTATGCGCACGGCACCATCGATCCCATTGAAGAGATGGGCAAGGACAGATGCCAGTTAGAGGATTCACTATAAATTGATTGCACGATGACAAGCAACATCCACGATGGTCGGTCTAGAATAAAAAAGTCGCCGACTGATGCGTTGCTCCTGATACTCGCAGATCGCCAAGAAGAAAAAGATCGGCCTCCACGTCGACTGCCGCTCGGACTGCAGAGACAGGGCAGCACCGAAAAGCAAATGACAGCTATGGATATCCCACAAAAGCGCTCGAACAAGAGACCATTGGAACTTTGGACAGGCTGCCTTGGTGGCTTCCTAGTGCCGTTTATGGAGAAGGCACGGCTTGTTGGACCCTGGGCGCTTGTCTTCTTGGACTTGGTAATCTTGCGATGGTATGCCACACATGTCGTGTGTTCCAGCAAAAAGAGCGCCTCATTTTGATAGCCTATGCCGTATTTTTGAGTGTAACTAGACGCGACACTGGGACATGTCAATGTATGAGTAACCGGCGAGGGTTGCTTTGACAGGTTTAGTTGGGGAGTGGAACCAACAACTTTGCGCCAGCATTCCAAAAGCAATACCGGTGGAGGATATTTAAAGGTGTTTGTGTAGATGTATGTAAAAAAACATCTAGGAAGCCTGCGCCTTCTGTGTCCAAGATACTAGTATATATAAATATATATATATAAATAACAACACACACACATATATATATATATATAGCTACTTAAGCTTAGGAGCCACCCCCACCTGCCAGCTACCCAAGCTTGGGCTAAAACAGGGATGTGAAGACAAGCGGACTCCGAAGGCTACCCGTCTTAGCTTCGAGGGACTCTGCGCACTCCGAAGGCTGGGTTTTCAATGCCCGGCTTTGACTTCCGAGTGCCTGGTGTGAGAGCCTCAGGACTTGGGCCAACTTGAGGCTTGGTTTTGAACAAATCCGCGGCGTTTTTGTACAGTGACGTGTCTTCCAGGTCACATCCATTTCTTGTGATCCTCACAAGTATGGATTCGCTCCCAAAGGTAGCTCGGTCGCCAGGATCTCAGCCAACCAGATGGTTGGAGTTTGTTTGACAAGAGATTTCTTGGGAATGAGGTCAATTACTTTTTCAAAGATGGACAAGTAGTATGACACTTAAGCAAGAAGGAGTAGAATCGCCTCGTCAATATTGAATCCCTATATAATATAGACTTTTCAAGACAGAACGAGACAGAAGCTACTTTGAATGTTTGTTGTCATTTGCTTGACAGGGCCATGCAGGTCAAGACTCGTGTCCGGTTGATCGTGTAGAACACCGGACCATGACGGCGCATGCTTTTTCCCCAGATGCTTGACGGCGCATAATAGTGAGTTGCCCGTGCGCGCTTTCGAGACAGGTTGCTGGTGCTGGGTGCCGGGTGCCGGTGCTGGTGCTGTTGCTGTGAGCTGGCTGTGCACGTGGTGGAGACAGGTTGCTGGTGGTGGTGCCAGGTGCCGGTGCTGCGTGCTGGTGCTGTGAGCTGGCTGTGCACATGGTGGAGACAGGTTGCTGGTGGTGGTGCCGGGTGCCGGTGCTGGTGCTGGTGCTGGTGCTGGTGCTGTGAGCTGGCTGTGCACGTGGCGCCGGGCAGTGGTGCTGGTGGTGGGTGCTGGGTGCCGGTGCGGGTGCCGGTGCTGTGAGCTGGCTGTGCACGTGGTGGAGACAGGTTGCTGGTGCTGGTGCTGGGTGTCGGGTGCCGGTGGCTGTGCACGTGGTGGAGACAGGTTGCAGGTGCTGGTGGTGGTGCTGGGCGCCGGGTACCGGCACTGGTGCTGGTGCTGTGAGCTGGCTGTGCACGTGGTGGAGACAGGTTGCTGGTGCTGGTGCCGGGTGCCGGTGCTGGTGCTGGTGCCGGGTGCCGCTGCTGGTGCTGGGTGTCGGGTGCCGGTGCTGGTGCTGGTGCTGTGAGCTGGCTGTGCACGTGGTGGAGACAGGTTGCTGGTGCTGGTGTCGGGTGCCGGTGCTGGCGCTGGGTGCCGGGTGCCGGTGCTGGTGCTGGTGCTATGAGCTAGCTGTGCGGTTGCTGGTGCTGGTGCTGGTGCTGGTGGTGTAGCTTGCAAAGCTATGGGGTTCTTACTTCAAATAACAATGAGCTGCCTGCGCGCGCGCTTTCGAGACAGGTTGCCGGTGCTGGTGGGCGGTGGAAACAGGGTGCCGGTGCCGGGTGCTGGTGCGGGCTGTGGTGCTGGTGCTGGGTGCTGTGAGCTGGCTGCGCGCGTGGTGGAGACACGGTGCCGGTGCTGGGTGCTGGCAGTGCGCATGGTAGAGACAGCGGGCGCCGGTGCCGGTGCTCTGAGCTGCCAGTGTGCGTGGTAGAGACAGCGGGCGCCGGTGCTGGGTGGTGGCTGTGCGCGTGGTGGAGACAGGGTGCCGGGTGCTGGTGCTTGGTGCCTACACCTGTGCTGTGTGCTGGTGCTGGGCGCCGTAAGCTGGCGCGCCGGTGCTCGGTGCTGGTGCCCGCTTCTGACAGTGAAGTTATAAAAAGCGCCGCTTCTGACAGTGAAGGGTAACAAACCGCCGCTTGCAGGAGTGAAGGGCGACCAAGCGCCGCTTCTGACAATGAAGTGCAAGCAGTCATGGGCCGCATGAACTTATGCGCGCAAGATCATACGGTGTTGTCGCTTGAGCGTTCTTTGTCTATTAGCGCTGTGGGGTATTTACACCCTTCAGGTTCTGTTTTGGCCGACAGCTGTGTCAAGGGCTGTACTGTTTGCGCGCATACTTTTGTACGTATAATGTTCTATGCGTCAGGCTCTCAACCGACCCTGTACCAGCATGTTTCAGCATGCTACACGCACAATAGTCGTGCTGGATACTGCTTGGCCTTGGGCGAGTGAAGCCTACGGGCTTTGCCGATTGTCCGCATACTTTTGTGCGCATAAACTTGTACGCGCAAGATCATACGGCCTTATCAATCTGCAGGTCGTTGCTTAAAGCATGCTACAAAGTCAATAGTGGCGCTGGATACTGCTTGGCCTTGGGCCAATGACACTTATGGGCTTTGCTGTTTGCGCGCATACTTTTGTGCGCGTAAACTCATACGTGCAAGATCATACGTTGTTATTCCCCAAGTAGGGATAGCTATGGGGTTCTTGCTGCAAACAAGAATGAGCTGGCTGCGCGCGCTTTTCGAAGGGTGTCGGTGCTGGTGCTGTGGTCCTGGGTGCTGGTGCTGTGAGCTGGCTGAGCGCTCGTTTGAGACGGGCCGCGGCGCTGGTCGGGTGCTGGTGTCAGCTGACTGTGCGAGGTGTCGTAAGCTGGCTGCGCAGGCTGCGTACATTCTTGTTCCAGCCAGTCGCATGTCAACAGGTCGTGGGATTCTGCCTAGCTATCTGGGTCTATGCTGGTGTAATTTACTTTTGTTCTATTGTTTTTCCCCAGATAGCGAAGCTATGGGGAGCTGGCTGTGCAGCTGGTGCTGTGAGCTGGCTGTGCGCGTGGTGGAGACAGGTTGCTGGCGCCGGTGCTGGTGCTGGGTGCCTGGCGCTGGAGCTGTGAGCGCGGGGGAGACAGGTTGCTGGTGGTGGTGGTGGTGCTGTGAGCTGGCACTGCACGTGGTGGGAGCTGGCTGCGCGCGCTTTCGCCGGTGTTGGGTGCCCGTCCCGGGTGCTGGTGTTGGCTGTGGTGCTGGTGCTGGCTGTGGAAACAGGATGCCACTGCTGGGTGCCGGTGCCGGGTGCTGGTGCTGGAGACACGGCGCCGGTTGGTGGAGACAGCGGGCGCCGGTGCCAGCGCTGTGAGCTGGCAGTGCGCGTGGTGGAGACTGGGTGCCGGTGCTGGGTGCTGGCTTTGTGTGTGGAGAGAGGGGGAGCTGGGTGCCGTCTGCTGGTGCTGTGCTGGGTATACACCGGCGCTGGGTGCTGGTGCTGGGCGCCGTGAGCTGGCGCGCCGGTGCTCGGTGCTGGTGCCCGCTCCTGACAGTGAAGTTATATAAAGCGCTGGTTCTGACAGTGAAGGGTAACAAGCCGCCGCTTGCAGCAGTGAAGGGCGACCAACCACCGCTTCTGACAATGAAGGGCCAGCAGTCATGGGCCGCATGAACCTATGCAGGCAACATCATACGGTGTTGTCGCTTGAGCGTTCTTTGTCTATTGGCGCTGTGGGGTATTTACACTCTTCAGGTTCTGTTTTGGCCGACAGCTGTGTCAAGGGCTGTACTGTTTGCGCGCATACTTTTGCACGTGTATTGTTCTATGCGCAACGTCGGGCTCTCAACCGACCATTATTTCAGCATGTTTCAGCATGCTACACACACAATAGTCGTGCTGGATACTGCTTGGCCTTGGGCGAGTGAAGCCTACGGGCTTTGCCGATTGTCCGCATACTTTTGTGCGCATAAACTTGTACGCGCAAGATCATACGGCCTTATCGTTCTGCAGGTCGTTGCTTCAAGCATGCTACAAAGTCAATGGTGGCGCTGGATACTGCTTGGCCTTGGGTCAATGACACTTATGGGCTTTGCTGTTTGCGCGCGTACTTTTGTGCGCATAAACTCATACGTGCAAGATCATACGTTGTTATTCCCCAAGTAGGGATAGCTATAGGCTATGGGGTTCTTGCTGCAAACAAGAATGAGCTGGCTGCGCGCGCTTTCGAAAGGGTGTCGGTGCTGGTGCTGTGGTCCTCGGTGCTGGTGCTGTGCGCTGGCTGAGCGCGCGGACGGGCGGCGGCGCTGGTCGGGTGCTGGCGCCGCTGCCGGTGTTGTCAGCTGGCAAAGCGCACCGGTGCTGGTGTCAGCTGATAGCGCGCGCTGTGGAAGTGCCGTAAGCCGGCTGTGCAGGCTGCGTACATTCTTGTTCCAGCCAGTCGCATGTCAACAGGTCGTGGGATTCTGCCTAGCTATCTGGGTCTATGCTGGTGTAATGTTTTGTTTATTTATTTAGATTTTTAGACCTGGCTAGCTTTGGCCACACCAGAGATCGACTTGAGCTTTGGCGAGGGCTTTCCCTAGCCGATTGGTGCATGGTCAAGAGGAGACTTCGCTCCATTTTTGGGCCTTATGTTGAACCAATCAGGGCTTCAATCGCTGCATCTGGCACCCCAAACACATACTGGAACCAAACCGATTTTGGCGCCAATGTCCAAGCCATTCTGTGGCCAATTCTTGGCTGCGTGTTAAACCCATGAGAGCTTGTTCTGCAACTACATGCTCAGAATGTTGGATCAAACCTATTTTCGTGCCAATTTCCGTCCCAGAGACAAGCTTTGTGGAAGCAGCTCCCCCGCAGGCATATTATGAAGCTACATTGTACAAAGTGTTGCTCCTGGTTGGTCTTTGGACAATGCAAAGCACCTTCGGTACGGGTGGACCTCTGCGATCTGCGGCCCATTCCTCATGACCTGACCGCTTTGCCCACCGAGGTGATGTTCTCCAACAAGGAGCTCCGCCTGGTGGCCAAGTGTGGCGCCGTGCTGACACCTTCGGTTTTGAAACCGTATGGGGTTTGGGTCAACATTATTTGATCGGCAAATATCGGATAATATTGGCAATATGTGCCCAAGTGTTTTGTTTGGGAAGTCGTTTGCAACAGGAGGTAGTTCGAAACTAAGCATGGTGACTAAGCAGTTCAAGGCTGTTTGCACACAAGTGGTTGTGGTTTTCTCATCCGAATCCAACGTTTCTTTTCCAGGACAAGTTGGGTGCTCGAGCCCTTTTGTTTGGAGTTAAATGGTTTGGTTTGGAAAAACACTGCAAAGTATAGTCGATGGATGCTGATGGAATATGTTTCTTGTATCTTTTGTAATTTCAATGTTTTTGCCATGGCATTTTGTAGGTTAGATTAGATGAAAGGTATTCTGCGTTTCCACGACGTGGTTACGTTAGACGAGCAATGAACAATCCCTTTTGGAGAGGCACTCATAGCATATCATAGCATCAAAACAAGAGAGACTGATGGCTGTCACCTGTACGGTTGCGGTTCATCAATTTCCAGCCTCGGATTGACACTTTAGAGTGCAGCCTTTGTTTCAGGTCGACACATGTACTGCTACCTCACCGACTGGAGTGGTGGCATTTACGCGACCCCAACGATGCCCTGTGCTCAGAAAACCAAGCATGCTAGGCCAGCTGCGCTTGAAGGGCTGGGCTATGAAAGCCAGTAGATAGT